CCACTACACTTCTAGTGTTACTCTCATAGCTTCACGCACTGTCCTTTCAGGGGGCAATTTCCTGAATTCCTAGGCCTTCTTCTGAAACGTGGATGGAGGCCTCTCTGATCTCATAACTCTTGCATTCTGCATACTTATAAAACAGCACCACATGGATGATACCAAGGTCTGCCACCGGTTCAAGCAGTAGCTTGATCCCATTGAATCATGGCTGCAATGGCCTCTGAGTGTCTGGATGGTTGAACTCAGGAGCACATTTTCCAGTGTGTCCCTGAATGAGCATGGCACCACTGGGTTCTCTTTTTAAAGGAAAAATTTAGATTTGCACCCTTGAGCCTGTGAGTGGGGCATTTCTTCTTCTTTTTTTGCTTTTTTTTTTTAAAAAATTTTAAAAAGAATAAAAAAAGAACAATAACAAAATACCAACAACATAGAAAAGGACAAAACAAAGCAAAAATAATAAGAATGATACAAAATTTCCAGACAAAATGATAGGAATTAACAGCGGCTGTTATATTACATATTGTTATCTTCAATGAAGTTGCTCAGATTACCAGATGTAAGAATGCAAGATTGATCACACCATTAAAAAGAAAAAATAAAAATAAAAGTTATAAATGAAACAGAGTTTCACTAAACAGTATGATAGGAAATCAGCAATGGTTGTTATACTGCAGACCGCTGTCTTCAAGTTAGTTGTTCAGATTACCAGATAAAAGCATGCACAAATGGTCAAAAAATTAAAGCATTAGCTGTTCCTTTCAATAAACCATTACACATCATCAGTACAATTTCCAGCTATCCTTTTGTTTACGTACATATTTTCCCTTTCTTTCTTTCTTTCTTTCTTTCTTCCTTTCTTTCTTTCTTTCTTTCTTTCTTTCTTTCTTTCTTTCTTTCCTTTTCTCTTTTCTCTTATCCCAGTTGTTTCTTCTTTTGAGCAATTTCTTTCCCTTTCATAGTATGTATTGTATGTTTTGGGTTTCATTTACTCTTTCATATTATTACACTAGGGAGATAGGACAATGTCTACACATGTGAGTCAGATTTATTTCACTTATGAATGTGGTCCCTATTTGCAACCATATACCTATAAAAGACTTGAGTTTATTTATTTTTATAGCTGTGTTACTGTATTGTATAAAATACCACAACTTTTTTATCCATTCATCAGTTGTTGGGCATTTGTGTTGTTTGCAAGATTTAGTTATGACAAATTTTGCTGCTAAAAAACATGGGTGCACATATATTGCTGTGGTATGATGTTTTTAATTCTTCTGGGAAAATACCCAGGAAGGGAATAGGTGGGTTAAGTGGGACCTCTAATCCTAGTTTTGTAAGGAATCTCCACACTGATTTCCACAGAGGTTTCACCAATCTACACTCCCATCAGCAGTGGAGAAGTGTTCCTCTTTGCCCTCAGCTTCTCCAACCTTTCTTTCTGGTTGATTTCTTGATAATAGCCACTCTTTCCTGGGTGAGATGGAATCTCAGTGTTATTTTAATTTGCATTTCTCAAATGACAATTGATATTGAACAGTTTTTCATGTATTTATTCACCATTAGTATTTCTTCATCTGAGAAGTGTGTGTTCATCTCAGATGCCCATTTTTGGATTGGGCCTTTGAATTTTGGAGGTCTGATATTTCAAAATTCTTTATATGTTCTGGATAGAAATCCTTTGTCTGAGGGGAAGTTGGCTGAAGTTTTTCCCCAATTTGTGGATTTTCTTTTTACTCTGTTGATGATTTCTTTTGATGTGCAAAAACTTTTTCAATAAGGGAAGACCCCAGTTTGTGATCCTTTGAAGTATTTCCTCTGCAATTTGGTTTTTGTTCTTGAACTCTCTGCCTGCTCCTATGCCTTCAAGACTTATACCTACTTTCTTTTCCAGTATGTTCAGCGCTTCTGTTTTACTATTTAGATTTTTGATCCATTTTGACTTTATTTTAGTGCATGGTGATAGACATTGGTCTAGTTTTAGTCTTTTAGTATTTGGCATGTGGAGAGCTAGTTTTTCCAGCGTCATTTATTAAAGATGCTATTTTTCTTCCAGTGAACATATTAGGCCCCTTTGTCAAAGAGAAGGTGGCTGAGCTTGTGTGTACTTGTATCTGCATCTTCTAATTTTTTCCACTGATTTTCAGCTGTTTTTTATTCCTGTATTGTGCGGATTTTATCACAGTGGCTTTATAGGATAATTTCAAGTCAGGGAATGTGATGCCTCCTGCCTTGCTTTGGTTGCCCAGGACTGTTTTTGCTATTTTAGGCCTGTTTTGGTTCCAAATGAATTTTAGGAATGTTTTCTCTAGATCTGTGAGGTATACTAATGGTATTTTAATTGGGATTGCTTTGAATTTGTACAGTTTTGGGAGTATGGTCATTTTCTCAATGTTGATTCTTCCTTTTCATGAGAAAGGAATATCTTCCCAGTTTCTGATATCCTCTTTGATTTCTTTTTTCACTGTACTATACTTTTCACTGTATAGATCTTTCACTTCTTTTGTTAGATTTCTTCCTTAGTATATCATCTGTATAGATGCTACTATGAGAGGTGTGGTTTTCCTAATTTCTCTCTCAGTCTATTTGTTGTTTGTGTGAGGTTGAACCTCCTTGGGTCGAGGGACCTGGGCCTGTGGTAAGTGGCCATACGGTGAAAGGAGACACTGGAGACCAGGCTGATGGTGCAGATCTACTTTATTGCGGAAGTACCAGGTGTTTTATAGAGCAGGCTAGAGGTGTGGCAATGGAGGCGAGCTAGGGGCGTGGTTTGGAGGTGGTACTAGTGGCGGGGGGGGGTGGGGTGCGCGGTGCAGAACTAAGAGGTCAGAGCGGGACAACCTAGGCAGGGCGACTCACTCGGTTTGCCAAGGACATGACGAATCCGAGTTTGCTCAGACCCGTTCCTCCGCCACGGCCGTCAACCAGACCTCTGGACCCCTTTTTCCCACATTTGTGTACAGGAACGCTACTGATTTTTGAATCTTGACTTTCTATCCAGCTATGCTGTTGAATTTGGTTATCAATTCTATAAGCCTTTTGGTAGAATTTTTGGGGTCTTCTATGTAGAGTATCATGTTATCTGTGAATAATGATAATTTCACTGCTCCCTTTCGTATCCTTATTCCTCTTATTTGTCTCTCTTGTCTAATTGCTCTGGCTAATATTTCTAGAAAACTATATTGAACAGGAGTGGTGACAGTGGACATCGTTGTCTTGTTCCTGATTTTAAAGTGAAAGCTTCAGTTTTTAGCCATTTAGAGTGATGTTAGCTGTTGGTTTGTCACAGATGGCTTTTATCAGATTGAGGTAAAATCCATCTATGCTAATTTTCTGTAGGACCTTTTATCATGAATAACTGTTGGACTTCATCAAAAGCTTTTTCTACATCGATGGAGATGATCATATGATTTTTGTCCTTGACTCTATTGATATGGTGCACTACATTGATTGATTTGTGTATATTGAACCATTCCTGCATTCCTGGAATGAATCCCACTTGGTCATGGTGTATAATCTTCTTGATGATTTATTGCATTCTGTTTGCTAGTATTTTATTGAGAATTTTTGCATTTATACTTATTAGGGAGATTGGCCTGCAGTTCTCTTTTTTGGTTGGTTCTTTTTCTGGTTTTGGTGTCAGGGTAATACTTGCCTGCAGGAACAAGTTGGGGAGAATTCTTTCCCTTTCAGTTTCATTAAAGAGTTTGAGAAGAATTGGCATTAAATCTTCTGTAAATTTCTTGTAGAATTCAGTGGTGAATCCATCAGAACCTGAGCTTTTCTTCATTGGCAAATTTTTTATTAAATTTTCAATTTCACTAGCTGAATTTGAGTTATTCAGGATTTTTTTGTTTTCTTCATTCAGCTTTGGTAATCCATGTATATTTCAGAATCTGTCCATTTCCTCTGTGTTTTCCATCCTATGAGAGTAAAGATTTTCATAATAGGTATTGGGGATCATCTGAATTTCTATAGAATCTGTAGTGATTTCACCCCTTTCATTCCTTATTGCATGTATTTCAGTTTTTTCTTTCCTTTCTTGATAAAGTTGGCTAGGATTTGATCAATTTTATTTATTCTTTCAAAGAATCATCTATTTGATTCATTAATTCTTTGGTTTTCTTAGTCTCCATTGCATTAATTTCTGCTCTGAGCTTTATAATTTCCTACCTTCTTTCCTGCCTTTTTCTAGGAGCTTGAGGTGCAGCACAAGATTGTTTATTTGTGCTCATTCTGTTTTCCTGATGTGGGAATTCACTGCTATAAATTTCCCTTTGAGGGCTGCTTTTATTGCATCCCACAGGTTTCTGTAAGTTGTATTTGCATTTTCCTTTGATGGTAAATAATGTTAAATTTCTCTTTTAATTTCATCTGTGACCCATTGGTTGTTCAGGAGGGTGTTATTGAATTTCCATGTGTTTATGGAGTTTTTGCTGTATTATTCATTCAAGATTTCCATCATTTTTCTATGCTCCTGTGTTTTCTCATCTATGTCTTCTTTGGATGTGCCGAACAATTTTTTCATTATTGTTATCATTTCTTTTTTACCTGAGAGATTATTTCTGATCTGATGTCTCGTATGGCCTGATGGAGTTGTTTCTTTATTTCAGTTGCTGTCATTTCACAAATTTCCGGTGTATGACTTCCAAGCTCTTCTGTGTTGATGTCTCCTGGACTTATCCTGGATGGGGGAGGGGTCTGAGATTGCATTTTGCTGTTTCCTTTTGTCATTTTTGAAGATTGGGATGTTCCCTGAAGCTCAGCCTTTCTCCCATGATGGTTTGGAAGTGGCAGGGCAAGGACTGGAGGTACCAGTGCTCCGTGTGGCTCCTGTGATGGTGTGTGGGTCAAGATGTGGTTGCAGATGCTCCCACACTGGTGGGTATGGGAGGTTCATTGGGGTTCCTGAAGCTGTCTGAGATTCAGCCCAGATTCCACAAGGGTGCAGCGGGGGGCACAGGTTATGGTCAGGCTTCAGGCACTGCTTGGGACCAAACCTGGTTCCTGTGCTGGTGGGGGAGGGGTGAAGGCACAGTCATCAAGGCTGTTGATGCTTTCAGGGTTCAGCTCAGCTCCAACAGTGATGCAGGGGGCCACTTCTTCTTTCTGAATGCCATGAAGGCATCGTTCTTCTTGTCTCTGTACAAAATACTTGGTTTCTTTTAAGTGGTTTCTTTTAGTAACCATGCTCCCCATTGTCCCAACATTTCAGGTGCTTCCTCTCTTGATGAAACTGCAAACCTCTCCCATTTTGCTCTTGATTTTCACTGGCTTAAAGGAGTCAGCAATACATACACTACACCCTGAACACTGCGCTACCTTGAAAGTTCCTCTTCCGAATTAGTCCACTACCCTAAGTTACTGTGTCCCACAAGCTGTCAGGACATGGGTAAAATGAAGACAAATTTTGTGCCAGGTGCGATATACTAGCCTCTGGTCCAGCTCCCAATGGAGCCCTTGTTCCCATCTGAAACTCCTTGAGCCTGACCTTTATGGTCTGCATCTATCAATACTCTGATCTTCTGCATTCTGGCAGAAATTCCCATTAAGCTTGGCTTATTGCATTTTAGGGTTTCTTTAGCTGGCACCTCCATTCTTTTCCAAACTCCTTCCACTGACCAGTTTCAAAGGCTTCTAAGCCATGTGGCTCAATGCACACAGCAGCCACTCCATTTCTCTGTACTAAAATCTGCCTTAGTCCCTTTCTCATCACCTGGACAAAATGCTCAACATTCTCAATTTAAAGGAGGAGGGATTCACTTTGGGCCATGGTTTTTAGAGGACTCAGCCCACTATCTACTGCATCAAGGCAAAAGAACAGGATGAAAGGCCCAGTCTTGGGACACTTGCTCATCCCATGGCAGCCAGGAGGCAGACAGAAAGGGGAGATCCAGGAATGAGAACACACAGGTCACACCCTCGGTGACTCTCCTCTTCCAACCAGACTTTTTCCCTTAAAAGCATATTCAGCTGAACCCTCATCAGTGGCCTATTCTACACAGGAATGTGGCAATCTCTTGAGCTAATTCATGTTCCAAGTTTCCCACCTTTGAATATGTGAGACATGTAAGATTTTAGATCTTGACCATAACAAAAATAAAGCAAATGATTAGTCAGATATCCCTCCTGGCCATGGAATTATGTTTGGAGAAAAGTCTTTTAGTAGGAGAAGGATAATGAAAATCTGTTATAATCCTATTGCCTCCTTTGTGTGAAACTGATTTGTGCAGCTTTCAGGCTGTCGCATATGCTTCTTGCTAGATAACCTTGGCAAACATTGGCTGGGCCCAGGCTGTAATTCTGTGGAGCACTTTTACATATGCATCTGGGGTCTTGGCAGTTGAGTTAGCATCAGCAGCTGGAGCCCTTGTTTGTGAACTAGACTCAGCAGTGTCTGGAGCATGCCAAACAGATACTCATTCATTCCACCTGCTCCTCTTGCATACCCAGTGGTGTGACAAATGACCAAGTAGCCACTAGAAGCTTTCCCACTGGACCACACCAGCACACCAGGCTCACCTCCTCAGTTTCAGGCTCCAGGTCTCCTTTCTTTGCAGGCTAGGTTCATGGATTCAGGGTACAGTCCTGTCCCAGTGTACCCTGGTGAGTTCAGATTACAGGTTCATTGCAGCATGTGGGCATGCCCTGTAGACCCAATACTTCCCAGCTTCCCAGGCTCAGGCTAGTCCTGCAGATCCAGGGCCAGGCCTGCCTCTTGCTGACTTGGGCACTGTACCAGGCTGAGGACTTGAGCAGCAAGGCCCACAGGCTCTGCAGAGGGCCTACCCACTCAGAATACTAGACAAACTGACTGTGAGAGGTGCTCCTACATAAAGATCCCCAGCAAAGAAATCTCTTCCTAGAAAAAGTGTCTATGAAGACTGGAACGAGCTGCTGCTCTCCCAGATGTGTGGATTGGATGAAAGGTGAGACAGACTATGAGGAACCTAGGAAATAGCCTGAAAAGAGCACAATTAATCATCTGTAGGACTCTCTGAAGAACTGGAAATACACCAGCTACCTGACAATTTGAAAGTAACTGACACAAAGAAGCTCAGTGGACTTCCAGAAAATACAATAAATTCAGTGAAATCTGGAAAATCATCCATGATTAAGGCTAATAGAAAAATTGTAGAAAAAATTCTGTCTGAAAGATACAATGATCGACAGAAAAATTCAAGAGAGCACCACCAGTTCAATCATAAAAGGAAAAACTGAAAAAGATCGATAGTCATGAGATTAAATTAAAAATAAGAAACTCCCTTTAAAGAAAAGTGTGGATCTGATGACTTTCTACTAAATATTTACAGAAGAACAAAATCTTGTTATTTTCAAATTCTTCCTAAAACTGAACAAGAAGGCATACTTCCAAATTCATTTTATGACATGAGCATTGTTCTCATGTCAAAGTCAAACAAGGACACAACAAGGGTCTCCAGGGAGCATAGATGTGAACATCACTGAGATAAAATGCTAACACAATCAACAGCACACCGTAAGGACCATTCACTATGATCAAATGCAGTTAGGTGCTGGGTTACAAAGGATTCAACATATTCAAGACTGTGACTGGGCTGTAACACATAAAGAGACAAAAACCAGCTGATCATCCTAACATGTGCAGAAAAACTTGATCAGTTTCACTCCCCATTCATGATAAATCACTCACGGATCTGCTACAGAAATGATATGACTTACACAACCAGAGCCACAGTGGACAAGCCTGCAGGTGGCCTCGTCCTTCCTTCTGAATCTGCGGAAGTTTTTCTCAGGAGCAAGACAGAGTGCCCACTCTCACCACTTACACTCAACACCCTAAGGGAAGTCCTAACAAGAGCAGGATGTGTGAGAAGAAAGAAGTAAAAGATATCCGATTAAGAAAGGATAAGTGAAATGCTTCCTGTTGGTGGAAAGATCATATATAAAGCCTCATAGATTCAACCAAAAGTTTAACACCAACACGTTGATCAAATTTACAAGACACAAAGTCAATGTTCAAAAATCAGTATTCCTTTAAAATATTTTAATATCTCATGCATACATTTTTTCCTTCAGTAATGCGGTAACTGTATGTTTATGGGGTACAGTATAATGTTTTGCTGTATGCATACACTGTGTCCTGATCAAGGTATTTACAGTTTTCATACCCTTATTATTAATTTCTGCAGTGCTGGGAATTGAGCTCAGGGCCTTGTGTATGCTACTCAATGCTCCACCACATAACTGCATTCCATCCTCCTTATCTACCAGTGCTTGGGGCCTTCAAGCCCCTTTCTTCCTGTTCTTCATAAAAAGTGCAGTAGGTTGTTGTGAGCTTGGTCGCCTGCAATGCTGCAGCTGTCCTACTACTGTGTGCTGGTGCCTGTTATCCAATCTCCCTCTTTCTCTCCTCTTTTCATACTTTTCCTAGCTTCTCTAATTATTACTCTGCTCTTTCGTCATTTAAGATGAGATTTTTAAATTCCCAAATATAAGGGAAATGTGCAGAGCTTGTCTTGTCTGGCTAATCTCACTGACGCCATCTACTCCAGTCCCACCTGTTTGTTGCAAATAACAGAATTTTGTGTCTGCATAGTGTTCTGTTGTGCGCATAGAATATGCCACTTTTTCGTTATCCGCTGTCAGTGGGCACCAGAACTATTCTAAATCTTAGCTCTGGTGAATAGAGCTGCAGTAAACAGGGCAGCACGTGTGGCCCTTTGGCACACTGGGAAAGTCAGTATTATTTCTATAAACCGACAGTGAGCTGTATGAAAAGAAAAAGCAATCAAGAAAATAACTTTAACCAAAATAGCTACCTAAAATACTTTGGAATGAATTTAATGAGTGAAGCAAAAATCTCTACATTAAAACTTATAAAACTGTGGTGAAAGTAATTGACAAAGAAGTAAACTGAAATACACTTCTCCATGGATTGGAAGAATTAATTTAGCTAGTATTTTCACAAAACTTGAAGGAGCGTGTTGAGTCAATGCAATCCCTGTCAAAATCCCTGTGACATTTTCACAGAAACAGAAAAAACCGCACGTTATAAAACCACAAACGATATGGGATAAACATAGGAATCTTAAGCAAAAAGCACAAAATCCAGAGGGACTGCATCACCTGACTTTCATACACCTGAGCAGAGCAGCATATTACTGACATAGGAACAGACACATAGACCAAGGAAACAGACTAGAAAGCTCAGAAATAAGTCCTTGATCTTAAGGTCAACTGATTTTCTATAAATCTGTGCCAAGCACACAATTGGAGCAGGAAAGTGTCTTCAGAAAATGGCAGGAGATGCAGATATCTATGCCGATGATGGTGCGTGTGTGCGTTCTCGTGACTGCAGGGCAGCTATTGGGCCGCGCTGTGACCGTGAGGGTTTTCAGTGATGAGATGTGAGCATTACTCTGACAGTGTGGCATGAGTCCCGAGGATCACATCACCAGTATAACTCGAAGAGCATGTTTATGGAAAAAGGCCATCGGTGCTGTCTGAATCTATTATAATGAATATTCAGGAATCTACACAATTTGCATGTGATGCACCACCAGTAGGGGTGGTGGTCATTGAGCTGGTCCCCGCTCCCGCCTTCACCATAGAAGAGCCGCTGTAGCTGCCGCCACAGGAACCCGAGCAGGAGTGCGGCCTGGCGGGGAGGCAAGAGTGCGTGTTGAGAGATTCAGCTCGCAAGAGTCCTGAACCAGATCCAGAATACTTTCCTGATGAAACAAATACCGAAAATCTTTATGGCACCTTTCCCCCGAGCACTCCTAGACGGATGAAATGCATGTCAATCAAACACCAGAGAAGCAATGTTGGGAGGCCCGCTAGTCGATTCAGTATGAAAGAAAAAAATGAATGCACCAAATTGGCTTCTACACAAATACACTGGAAAAACAATGGAGAACGTGGAAGAATACAGTTACAAGCATGAGAAAAAGATCAGAGCAACTCTTAGAACAGCAGAGTGTAATCATAAGAAAAATGCACAGTGCTCATTCATGATAGACTCAGTCAGTGGGTCTTTGCAAGAAAAAATCAATTCCAGATGTAGATCTCAATAAGCCTTACCTCAGCCTTGGCTGTAGCAGTGCGAAGATTCCTGTTTGTGTACCCATGCCTATAGCCAGAACTGCACGGCAGACTTCTAGAACTGACTGTCCAGCAGATCGTTTAAAATGTTTTGAAATATTATGACTTTTGCT